AAGACGGCCCAAGAGGCCCGCAAGAGGCCTCCAAGACGGCCCAAGAGGCCTCCAAGAGGACCTCCAGGAAGGCCCGACGAGGCCAAAAACATTGAGTTTCCATAGGTTTTTGATGGATTTTGGCATTTGCGCCTTTTCGGCTTTCCGACGACCCAAGACGGCCCAAGAGGCCCCCAAGATCCCCCCAAGATCGCCCACGCGGCCTCCAAGAGGGCCCGAGACGGCCCAAGAGGCCCCCAAGACGGTCCCAAGAGGGCCCCAAGATGGGCCAAGAGGCCTCCAAGACGACCAAGATGGCCTCTACGACGGCCCTGGGGCACCCCAGGAGGGCCCCAAGTCGGCCCAAAGAGGCCCACCATACGGCTTCCGACGGCGTCAGACGGGCCAGGAGCCCACCAAGATGGCCGAAGTTGGCTCGAAGCTGGCCCAAGACGGCCCAAGAGGCCTCCAAGAGCGCCTCCAGAAGGCCAGAAGAGGCGAAAAACATGATTATCCATAGGTTTTGGAAGGATTTTGGCACTTGCTTCTTTTCGGCTTTCCGACGGCCCGAGACGGCCCAAGAGCCCCCAAAGATCGCCCAAGAGGGCTCCAAGATTGCCCCAGAACGGCCCAAGAGGCCCCCAAGACGGCCCCAAGAGGCCCCAAAGACTGCCTAGGAGGCCTTCAAGACGCCCAAGACGGCTGCCAAAACGGCCCTGGAGCATTCCAAGAGGGGCCACGTTGGCCCAAGATGGCCTCCGATGGCCTCCAAGTCCGCCCAAGAGAGGAGGAGATGCCCCCAAGTCCGCCCAAGAAACCTTCAAGACCGCCCAGGACGGTCCAAAAGGTGCCCATGAGGCCTCCAAGACGGACCAAGAGGCCTCCACGAGGTCCTCCAGGAGGGCCCGAAGAGGCCAATCTCATGTATTTGCCTGAGGTGTTTACAGGTTCTTCGTATTTGCTCCTTTTCGGTTTTCCGACGACCCAAGACGGCCCAAGAGGCCCCCAAGATCGCCCCCACAGCGCCCAAGAGGCCTCCACGATGGCCTCAGGACTGCCCAAGAGGCCCCCAAGACGGCCCCAAAGGGCCACAAAAACGACCCAAGAGGCCTCAAAGACGCCCAAGATGGCCTCTACGACGGCCCTGGAGCACCCCAAGAGGGCCCCAAGTCGACCCAGAGAGGCCTCCCAAATGGCTTCCGACGGCGTCAGACGGGCGAGGAGCACACCAATATGGCCGAAGTTGGCTCGAAGCTGGCCCAAGACTGCCTCCAAGAGGGCCCCAAGGAAGGCCAGAAAAGACCCAACACAAAGATGTTCCTTAGGTGTTTGAAGGATCATGGCATATGCTTCTTTTCGGCTTTCCGACGGCCCGAGGCAGCCCAAGAGGCCCAAAAGATCGCCCAAGAGGCCTCCAATATGGCCCCAGAACGGCCCAAGAGGCCCCAAGAGGCCTCCAAGGAGGCTTTTAAGACACCCAAGATGGCCTCCAAGACTGCCCTGGAGCATTCCAAGAGGACCCCAAGTCGGCCCAGAGGGGCCTCCCAAATGGCTTCCGACGGCGTCAGAGGGGCCATGAGCCCACCAAAACGGCCGAAGATGGCTCTAAGATGGCCCAAGACGGCCCAAGAGGCTCCCAAGAGGGCCTCCAGGAAGGGCAGCAGAGGCCAAAATCCTTCCCATGAGTTTTTGTAGGATTATCGCATTTACTTTTTTCGGCCTTCCGACGGCCCGAGACGGCCCAAGTGCCCCCAAAGATCGCCCAAGAGGCTCAAGACGGCCCCAAGAGGCCCCCAAGACGGCCCAAGAGGTCTCCAAGACGCTCAAGATGGCCTCCAAGACGGTCCAAGAGCCCTCCAAGACGTCCTCCGAGAAGGCCCGAAAAGGGTCAAAATGTCCTGCACACGACCAAGATGACCTTCAAGATGCCCACGTGTTCCCCGAAGGCTTTCCAAACTGATTCGGGGAACACATGGTCCGATAGCTTGGCAGGTCTGGCCCCCACGTTCGGCCACATAGGCGATTCCAGCAAGACAGGCGGCGGCGGTGCTTCGACGTAGGCGTCTTCGATCCGCCGCCACCTGTCGATTCATCACAAGGGTGCCCAGCGTGCTGAATCCATTCGTTTTTTGTTTGGGTTCTTTTCCAAAAAACCTCTCCCTGGGGTTCCGGCCCAGCCCGCCCGGGTCCCGGAATGGCCCGGAAAAGGGTGGTTCCAAAAGGTTTTCCTGCTCCGGATGGCTCCCAGATGGCTTCCAAAATGGTCAAGATGGCCTCCAGGTTCGCCCAAGATGGTCCACGATAGCCTCCACGACGTCCCAGGAGAGTCCAAGACGCCTCCAAGTTCATGCGAGAAACCTCCTAGATGGCCCAATACGGCCCCAGAGGCCCCCAAGCGGCCTTTAAGACGGCCCAAGAGGCTTCCCACGAGAGCCCGAAGCGGTCAAACTCAATGTTTTCCATCAGTTTTTGAAGGATTCAGGCTTTGGTTATTTTCGAACCTTCCGACGGCTCACGACGGCTAAGGAGCCAGAGAGATCGCCCCCAGAGCACCCAAAAAGGCTTCCCAAATGGCCCGATGACGGCCCCCAGCATGGCGCCAAGACGGCTCCAGAGTCATCCAAGACGCCCAAGACGGTCTCCGAGACGGCCAAGATGGCCTCCAAGATGCTTCCAACACGGTCGAGATGAACTTCAACACGGCCAACATGGCCGCTCAGACGGCCAAGATGACCCAACATTGGCCCGAAAGGTTCCAATATTGCCCCACAGGAGACCAACAGGTGTTCCAGGAAGGCCCGAGGGAACCACATTTTCCTTACGTTTTTGAAAGATTGGTGTTTGTCCTGGGGTTTGGTGTTCCGACCGCCTACGACGACCCAGGGAGTCCCCAAACTAGTCCCACAGGCCTCCCAGATGGCTCAAGAACGGCTCACGAGGGCCCACAATGCCCCAAAAACAGCTCAAGAGAGTCCAAGATGCCTTGACATTCGCCCAAAAAGCCTCCAAGACGGCCTCATATGGCTCCAGGATGGCCTAAGACTGCCCGAAAAGGGACCCAAGAAGGTCTAAGAACCCGAAAAGGCCAAAATCATTGATCGCCCCTTTGGTTTTTAACGGATTTTGGTATGGTCTTCTTGTGGGCGGCCAAAAAGGCCTCCAAAACGGCGAATATGGCCCCAAGATGCACCCAACACGGCCCCAAATGGCCTGAATATGACCTTGCACTGCCCAAGAGCCCCGCCAGAGGCCTCCAAAATGGCCCAACACCCCTGCAAAACGTCCTCCAGGAGGCCTGCAAGCTCGGAAACCACCTGGTCCGATAGCTCGCCCGACTCCGTGTTCCCCGAAGGCTTTCGAAACTCACTCGGGGAACGCGTGGCCCGATAGCTCGGCCAAGCTCAAACCCAACTTTTGGCCACGAGGGCGCTCCCAAAAGGAAAGGGGCGGTGGTGATTCGCCGCAGGCGTCTTCGATATTTGCATCTGACCCCGAAGTCTTGATGATGATATGGAGTAGGAGTCACAACTTGGGGGGGAAAAAAGAGGCAGCAGCGTGTAGCGGGGATTCCCCGCTGCAGTGTCCCGGCGGAAAACCGCGGGTCACGCCCGGAGGCCGCGAGGCGGACATTTACGTCCACGCCCATATCCTCCTTGATGTCCATCACCTCATCCTCCTCCGTCCTCCGCAACAAGCACACGTTCGTGCACCTTCTCAAGCAGCGCCACCCTGGCATCCCCCTCCCCGTCGTCGTCCTCTTCCTGGCCATCCTGGTCCTCCTCCTCCTCCTCCTCGTTTTGCTGCTGCTCCTCCTCCTCCTCCTCCTCCTCCTCCCTTACTTCCTCCTCGTCCTCCTCCCCATCCTCCTCCACCTGTTCCTGCACCAGATCATGAATGAGACGCGGCAGACTGCATGAATAAGACGGCACCGATGCACCTACTTCCGCGGGCAGCTTGCGCGCGGGTGAATGCGCAATCGATCCCCGTGGCATCGCCCCCCCAAAACTTCACAGTAGGCTGTGCAACGGACCGTTTTTGTTAAAGCCTCGTCTCCCCCTTCGGGGGCGGTTAACCCACTCATCCCGCCAGCAGGCCGTGGAGGCCTTGGATAAGGAATCCAGGGTCTAGAGCCTTGTGGGGATCCACTTGCGTGGACGGGGGGGCAGCAACTGTCCGCCCCCAATCATTGTGAGCTCTCTACCCTCCCTCCGTTTCCCCTCTCTCCCCCCTTACTTCCTCCTCCCTCCCGCCTCCCTCCTCCCTCCCCCCTCCCTCCCACCCTTCCTCCAGCTCAGATCCCCTGGAGGAAGACGGCAGGTGAGCGGTGCGGTTGCGGTTGCGCGCCCGCGGGCGGGTTGAAATGTGTCGCCCCGTTGGGGTTGCCGTTGCGCGCCCGCGGGCGGGTTGAAATGTTTCGCCCGCTTGCGGTTGCGGTTGCGCGCCCGCGGGGGTTGAAATGTGTCGCGTAGTTGCGGTTGCGGTTGCGCGCCCGCGGGCGGCTTGAAATGTGTCGCCCAGTTGCGGTTGCGCGCCCGCGGGCGGGTTGAAATGTGTCGCCCGGTGCGGTTGCGGTTGCGCGCCCGCGGCGGGTCGAAATGTGTCGCCCAGTTGCGGTTGCGCGCGCCCGCGGGCGGGTTGAAATGTGTCGCCCAGTTGCGGTTGCGGTTGCGCGCCCGCGGGCGGGTTGAACTGGTTGCGCGCCTGCGGCGGTTTGAAATGTGTCGCCCAGTTGCGGTTGCGCACCCGCGGGCGGGCCGAAATGTGTCGCCCAGTTGCGGTTGCGGTTTCTCGCCCGCGGGCGGGTCGAATTGTGTCGCGTGGTTGCGGTTGCGGTTGCGCGCCCGCGGGCGGGTTGAAATGTTTCGCTCGCTTGCGGTTGCGGGCCCGCGGGCGGGTTGAGATGTGTCGCCCAAGTGCGGTTGCGCTTGCGCGCCCGCGGGCGGGTTGCGGTTGCGCGCTCGCGTGCGGGTCGAAATGTTTCGCCCGCTTGCGGTTGCGGTTGCGCGCCCGCGGGCGGATTAAAATGTGTCGCCCAAATACGGTTGCGCGCCCGCGGGCGGGTCGAAATGTGTCGCCCAGTTGCTGTTTCGGTTGCGCGCCCGCGGGCGGGTCGAAATGTGTCGCCCAGGTGCGGTTGCGGTTGCGCGCCCGCGGGCGGGTCGAAATGTGTCGCGTAGTTGCGGTTGCGGTTGCGCGCCCGCGGGCGGGTTAAAATGTGTCGCCCAATTACTTACGGTTGCGCGCCCGCGGGCGGGTCGAAATGTGTCGCCCAGGTGCGGTTGCGGTTGCGCGCCCGCGGGCGGGTTGAAATGTGTCGCCCAGTTGCGGTTGCGGTGGCGCGCCCGCTGGCGGGTTGAACTGTGTCGCCCAGTTGCGGTTGCGGTGGCGCGCCCGCGGGCGGGTCGAAATGTGTCGCCCAGGTGCAATTGCGGTTGCGCGCCCGCGGGCGAGTTGAAATGTGTCGCCCAGTTGCGGTTGCGCGCCCGCGGGCGGTTTGAAATGTGTCGCCCAGGTGCGGTTGCGGTCCATTGGAAGCTTTCTGGCAGCCTGGAGAGCCGACCGAAGGCTATCTTGGGTTGCTTGGGAGCGTCTTGGGCCGTTCTTTTTCGTTCTGGGAACTTCTTGGGGGGGTCGTCTTGGGCTGTCCTTGGGCGTTTTGGGGGCCCCCCGGGGCCAGAACGCACGGTACCAAGAGCGTTCCGCAGATGTTCCGGGAAGGTGTGGGGCCCCTGGACAGGGGGGGGGAGTATTTGTTGAACTTGAAAAAGAAGGAATCTCAGGAATTCCCTCTTTTTCAAGTTCCTCGGTCTTTGAGCGTTAGAAGCGGGAAAACGTGAGAAGGCGTAAAACGTTGACAAAAACAATCGGAAATGAACGATCTTACCCTTTTCGGGCTCTCTCGGGGCGGCTATCGAAGCTCTCTCGGGCTGTTTGGGGGGCCTCGTCGAGGCTTCTTTGGGGCCTCTCAGGGGTCTGGGGTGTGTTGCGGGCCTCTGGGGGGTCCCGGAGTCCTCTCGCTTGGGCCCATCTTGGGCCTGTTCTGGGGTGGTCCGGAGCTGTCCTACGCGCCTCTTCGGCAGTCTTGGGGTCTTCTTGGCCCGTCTCGGGGCCGTCTAGGGGGCCTCTTGGGCGGTCTTGGGGTGGTCTTGGGGGCCTCTTCGGCCGTCTTGGAGCGTTGGAAGCATGAAGTGGTGAGAAAGCCAACATCCTAGAAAACAACTAATGATAATTAACGGTGTTAGGTTCTCTGGGCGCACTCGGGAGGCCTCTCGGAGCTCTCTTGAGGTCTCTTGGAGGCCTCCTGGGAGCCTGGAGAGCCACCCGAAAGCTATCTTGGGTTGATTGGGAGCGTCTAAGGCAATTCTTTTACGTTCTGGGGGCTTTGGGGGGAGCGTAAACCAGATGTGATCGAGGCGGAAAACGCCCCGGGAGGGGGCCCGGCGTATGTTCTCTCTCTCTCTCTCTCTCTCTATATATATATTATGTATTTGTATATATATATATATGTGCACATACATGTATTACAACTGTGCTTCTCATTCTCTCTCTCTCTCGCTTTCTCTCTTGCTGCTATCACAGTAAATCCCCAAACAGAGAGGCCCGCATGGAAGGCAGCTGGCCGAGTCCCTAGAGCTGCTCGCAGCGCTCGAACCACTTGACGATCCGTCTTGTTCCTCGGTCCGTGCTAGTGCTATATCCCCGTGGAATCGGCCACCCTTCTCATTTAACTCCTGCTCAAACAGGGTTGCGTGGGATGAGGATGAGGAGGATGAGGAGGAGGAAATGGACGATGAGCAGGATCAGCAGAGGGACGGCAAAGAAAAAGAGTAGGAGCAGGGGGGAGGACGAAGAAGGAAGGAAGGCTCATGAGCATGATGGGAAGGATGCGGCGGACGGGGAGAAGGGAATGATGATGAGGAAGAAGAGGATGACGAGGAGGAGGAGGCCTCAACCGCCCTTCGCTCCCTCGCTCGCTCCTTCCCCCCTGCGTCTCCTCCCGCTCCCCCTGAGGTGCTGAGGTGCTGACGGCTGCAATGTCGTTCAGACGTGGCCCTCCCCCCCTCCCCCAGGGCCAGTCGGCCCTCGGGGGGATGCTAAAACCAGTGCGCCCAGCAACTCCACGGGCTGTCACCCCTTGAGTCCGTACTCCCCCTGCTCATCCTTCTCTTCCCCCTCATCGCTGCCCTGACTCTAGACCGTCCGCTTCGTCATCACCCATCTTCTCGGCCATCCAGCCCCCACCTCTTCTCGGCCATCCAGCCCCCCCCCCCGCCCGCCCACCTCGCCATTCCTCACCCCGTCCTCTCGTTCCCCTCCCCTCGCCCTCCCCCTCCCGCCCGAACCCTCCCTTCCCCTCTCCCCCCTGCTGCCCCCAAGAGGTCCCCCAAACCGCCTCCAAGTGACTTCCGAGAGGTCTCCCAAGGGACTCCTTGGTCCCCATGGGGCGCTCTCGTGGCGCCGGCCTGTCGTTCCCCCAAGCTTCCTCTGCCTGATGCTGGATGCGAGTGATATGGTCATGTTATGCCGACGGTGGTACGATGCGATAGAATTTGCTATGATATATGATGGTGGCGCTGGAGATGGCTATCCTCCGCAGTCTGTCTCCTTCGGGCTGGCCCGCAAGTACCTATAAACACCTGTCTGTGGCGCGGTTAGCTCTGGCGGCGCGCAGGGTGGGCTAGGGGGAACGGGGAAGGCGTCTTAGAAGGAGGCTGAGTCTTAAGGCGCCTGCCATACAGTTCTGTAGAGAAGGCCCGCGCCTTCTAAGAAGCAGCCTCCTTCTAAGGAGCCCCCCCTCCCCCTACCCCTCTCTGCGCGTGGCTGAGTCCGGCGTCGGCTCCTGGTTTCGGGGCCATAGCTTGGCTCTCCTGCGGCTGGGCACCCCCAGAACGCTCTCGGCGACCAGCAGCTGCTGAAGAGCATGCCGCAGCTGGAAACCCGCCAACCGCCGAGATCCGACGAGGACGACCGACGACCTTGAACAAGGCCGTGCATGGCGACAACAACACCGAACATCGACCGAACCGTCATCGAAACTGAAACCAACTGAAATCGACAGGCCGAGAGCAGCCTCGAAGGGCGAAACAACGCCGCGGCAATGGTACAATAACTGACCGAAGCGAACTGACCGAACGCAACCGACTGCGACGCAGCCGAACCGACGGAACTGTGAACACCATTGACTTGGAGGCGGTCAGGGGGTCTAAACTGGTTGGGGCCCTAGAACATCGGGCAGGAGGTGGGGACAAAGACACATCCGCTCAAAATCGGTCCCTGGACCCCTGCCGAGGCCCATCTGGTGCATTTTTTCACCGTGGATCCGTTTTTCACGGTGCCGCGGCCGTACACGGCCCCCGAAGCTGAAGAAGGCAGACACCCTTCCCGAACCCAGACCCTCGAACCTCGAGCACTGGTCCCGCCGACGCATCCGCCCCCCGAGCCTGTCACCCGCTCCCAGGCGTGGCCCTCGTGGCAACTCGTTGCACCTGACTTTCCTGGAGGCCTCCCAGGTGGGAACAGAGCACATGGGGGGTCGAAGGATCGCGCCGCATCGCTGCTGCATCGGCGATGCACTGGCGATGTCGGCGAAGCATTGGCGCCGTCGGCGTGGCGAAAGTCGGACTCCGCATCGAGCTGCATCGCCGATGCATCGGCGATGCGGCGCGATCCTCCGACCCCATCTAGTGCGACCCCTGATGTCGGGGGCGGTCAAGAGGGGGGTGTCCAAGAAGGGGGGGTGCAAATCATGGCGGGCGTCATGTGCGCGGTCCAGGGTGGGGGGGCCAGGGACGTCATGAAATAAGAAGAGTCGCCATGAAATTTGGGGAGATAACATGTCAGGTCCCACGCCATGATATCCCCCCCCCCTAGTCATCACCCCCCTCTTTGCCGCCCCCGATTATGGGAGGCCTAAACCCCCCGCCCCTTCCGGAATGGCGTGGCTGACGCTGCCGCCCACTTCTGGGGCCACGCCGCTCTCGGCCTCGCGGGGCGACCGGCGAGCACGCCGCCCCCGCAAGGGGCGACTTCGTCGCCGTCGCCGCCGCCGCCGCCGCCGCCATCGTCGTCGCCGCCGCCGCCGCCGCCGTCGTCGTCGTCTTCGTCGTCGCCGCCGCCGTCATTGACGTCGTGGTCGCCGCCGCCACCGCCGCCGCCGCCACCGCCGCCGCCGCCACCGCCGCCGCCGCCGCCGTCGTCGTCGTCGTCGTCGTCGTCGTCGTCGTCGTCGTCGTCGTCGTCGTCGTCGTCGTCGTCGTCGTCGTCGTGGTCGTGGTCGTGGTCGTGGTCGTGGTCGTGGTCGTGGTCGTGGTCGTGGTCGTGGTCGTCGTGGTCGCCGCCGTCGAGGTCGTGGTCGTGGTCGTGGTTGTGGTCGTGGTCGTGGTCGTGGTCGCTGTCGTGGTCGTGGTCGCCGCCGCCGCCCACGCAATCGTCGTCGTCGTCGTCGTCGTCGTCGTCGTCGCCGCCGTCAGCCGCCGCCGCCAGCCGCCGCCGCCGCCGTCGTCGCCGCCGCCGCCGTCGTCGTCTTCGTCGTCTTCGTCGCCATTCTCGTCGTCGTGGCCGTCGTCGCCGTCGCTCTGAGACCGCGGTCTGAATTTTTGTTAATGTTTTTGGCCCCTTCGGCTCCGCTCTTCCGCCCTGGGCGGCGGGGAGAGGAATTCCCCTCGAGACCCCCCCCCCTCCCCAGACATCCAGCGGCTCCGACGAAGTCGAGACGGCCGTTTGTAGCTTCAGGTCGGGCGTGTACCCGTACGTGCAGGCAGAGTGTGGACGAAAAGCAAGAAATACCCAAAACATACGAAACACAACGCTGAAACATTGTAAAAAGAATCGTCCCCAGACTATTTTTGGACAATGTTTGCATACTCCTCCTGTAGAGGGACGGGCCCGACTTACTTCCAGCTCTCTCGAACCTCTAGGAGCTGGCCTCGGACCCCGGGGCCGTCACGAGACCTCCAGGGACGATGGAGCCCAGTCCCGGGTAAAGGGTCCGAGAGGTGCAGAGCCCCGAGGCACAGCACTGCCGAGCCACTCCCGTGTCCTGCCCCCTCGTCGCGACTGCCCGAGGGAGGACGCCAGGAAGCACGACGTGAACCACGGAGAGAACTCGGCGACGAGCGAGGGGAAGTGAGAAGGAGACGGCCCTCTCAGAAGGCGGCGGGACTCCTCAGAAGCCCCCGCGCCTTCTGAGAAGCTTTCTGGGTCTTCGGGGAAGGCTTAGCAAACTTCTCAGAAGGCCTGGGGACTTCCGAGCCTTCTGAGAAGGCCCACCCCTCCTCACATCCCCCCCCGCTCGCCGCCGAAGGACGGGTCTTACGCGAGATGACGAAGCGACCTTGCGCGGTAGCTTACGCGGGTCGACACCGCGGCACACTTCATTGGAAACGAGGGCGCGCATGCGCGACCTTACGCGGGCAACTTACGCGCAAATGTCAGCGCAGACGGCACCATATCCCGTAGTCCCTTACATGGGATCAATGTCGACGTCATACCAGGCACACGTTACTTGGGACGCATGATCCAATAACTCACGCGGCTTCCTGGATATGTGCTTGGGATCACAAAGTTAAGCTAACCCGCGGAGAACGAATTGTCACATCAAACGCAGTCCCAGCAAATCCAAACATTCGATTCGGGAAGGAGAAGGAGGATTTTCACATTGGACCCCACCATAAGCACCATAGGTAGGTCATGACGCCTGCCGCTCTGCTTCAGGAGCCGCCTTAGCGCAAGGCCCACGGCCGAGCGTGGGGTGGTACCAGGGGGAAATCACATCATTCATAGCGCACAGCTTGAAGTCATACTAGAGTGGCGTCTGACACGCAGGGTTAAAACGAGACAGCCAGAAGAGAAGGGGTGGCGAAGAAGGAGGAGGAAGAAGATCAACGGCGGGGGTGGTCGACTCGACATCTGTTCAGCTTGTGCGCCGGGGCTGTCGAGCCTAAACCGGCTGCGCCGGCGCGCGAATCGCGCGGCTGAAGGCTCAGGCAGAATGATAAGCCCTGGGCTGGCCTACGGCGCATGCCGTGCGTAAAGGCGCCGGCGGGCGAGGCGGCAGAGGGAGGAGGGAGGAGAAGGGATCAGGAAATCAGCTAGAATAGTGTCTACAACCGGTCTAAAAATCAACTTTGGGGGACAATTTCAAAATTAGTTATTCGCAACGCTGTAATGCGCATATGGAATACAAATGGAACGCGGGGCAAACCGGACCGCCGGGGACGTCCCCGCGACCGCCCTGGCGCTCCGAGTCCTACATAAAACCATTTAACCTCACAAAAACAACGTGCGACACGCGTCACCCCCGAAATGATAAACAACCAATTGTAAATTTGGGATTTTTGGGGCCAACATCAGAACACTCAACTCCGTAACAAAAACAACGGGTGACACGTGTCACCCCTGAGACCGTGTCAAAAAAACCATGTGTAAATTTGGAATTCAGGGAGCCACCGTAAGGCCATTCAATTTCATAAAAATAACAGGTTACACGTGTCACCCCCGAAACCGTGTCAGAAAAACCAATGGTAAAACTGGGATTCTATGAGCCAACATTAGACCATTCAACCTCACAAAATCAACCGGTAACTCGTGTTTCCCCCGGAATCGTCTGAGAAAAACATGGTGTAAATTTGAAATTCTGGGAGAATACATAAGGCCATGTAACTTTACAAAAACAGCGGGCGACACGTGTCACCCAAGAAACCGTGAGAGAAAAACAATTTGTAAATTTGGGATTCTGGAGCCAACATAAGGCCATTCAGCCTCACGAAAACAACGGGTGACACGTGTCACCCCCGAAACCGCGTGAGAGAAAACAACAATCGTTCCCTACCTAGGCTCTGCCCAGAAGGGTTCTTACTTTCTTTGCTCAAAGGGCCGGGCAGTGCAACGCGCCCCGGGCGGTTCCCCCAGTCCCCTGGGAGCGGTTCCCCCAGTCCCCTGGGAGCTTTAGCTTTAGCTTTAGCTTAGCTTTAACTTAGCGTTAGCTTAGCTTTAGCTTAGCTTTAGCTTATTAGCTTAAGCTTAGCTTTAGCTTGGCTCTAGCTTAGCTCTAGCTTAGCTTTATCTTAGCTTTAGCTTGGCTTTAGCTTAGCTGTAGCTTAGCTTTAGCTTAGCTTTAGCTTAGCTGTAGCTTAGCTTTCGCTTAGCTGTAGCTTAGCTTTAGCTTAGCGTTAGCTTAGATTTAGCTTAGCTTTACCGCTACTACTAATGCTGCTTTCCTAGGGGCTCCAACTCCTAGGTAGGGTCGCACTAGGATATTTTTTGTTGGATTCAGGGGGCCAACATGAAGCCATTCAGCCTCACACAGCGCGCTAGAACTGGACGCCACCGCGCGCACGCGCGCGCGCAGTCGCGCGCGTACGTACGTACAGTGTCCCAGTAAGACTAAAACTACCTTCGACCGGAGTAGCCTGCACATCTGCACGCATACAACTGATGCATATGTACCAATGAATGCGTGTGCGTGCATGTGTATATAGATGTATACAAACAGATGTGTGTGCATTTATCTATCGCATCGTTCGGTCCCCGCGGAATATTTTCTGGGGGGGACAATTTAAAACATACGGAATTATTCGGCGGCGAATTAATGGCAGTCGGGATCCCGGGGGGGGGGGAGAGGGGAGGGGCATCATTGTTTAAACAAGCTTTGCACATTAGAGAACCGACCAAAAGAAACCTCCCGCAAGAAACCCAACCCAACGTCACGCTTTCCATCGCAAAACCATGGAAGCCCAAGAAACCCAGGGCACCCTGGAGGCAAGCAGAGCGTTTCTTGGCATGGCCCCCACTGTAAAGGCGCCTGCGGGCGAGGAGGCGAAGGGAGGAGGGAGGAGGGATAAGGAGGTCAGCTACGACAGCGCAGGACAGCGTCAAGCCGACGTTCGCCGAGAGCGCGAGGTGGACGGCGGTCGGGAACTTGAGGCTTAGCCTGTCGCGGCGGCGGCCCCGGCAACACAATGTGCCAGGCGAGCGGATAGCGTGCCGCTCCGCTCCGCGGGGCGAGAAACTCGGAGAGGCTCGGGACGTTGACGCTGGGGAGCCGGGTGCCATGCGAGCGGATGGCGAGTCGCTCCGCTCCGCGGGGCGGGAAGCTCGGAGGGGCTCGGTACGCTGACGCTGGGGAGCCGGGGAAATAAACGGCGTATCGCATCGAAGCGCGGTGGGCCAGAGCTGGCGGACCGACACGCTGAGCCAAACATCCTGGCCGCAGAAACACCTGCCCTTACCCTCCGCCCGTCAGGTCGATGCCCTCCCTGGCCACTCCGACGCTGTGGCCGGGAAGGCACGGGCGGGTGAGTGGGAAGAAGCCGTTGCTCTTGGGGAAGAGGAGGGGGGAGGGGGGTCGGGAGGATGGTGGGGCGGAGGACGAGGGAAGGGAGGATGGAGGGGGGAGGCAGGGAGGAAGGCGAAAGAGGAGGGAGTAGGAAAAAGGAGGGGGGCGCACGACCGTGAAGGGTACGGGGAGGACCAGGAAGGATGAGGGGAGGGAGGGACGGAGGGGAGGGAAGGGAGGACGGAGGAGGAGGAACGGTGCAGGTGTCTGCAGGCTCCCACTCAAAGAGCTCCCGGCGCGCGGCAGACACGCGGCCGCCAGGAGGAGGGAGGAGGGAGGGGAGGGAGGAGGGAGGGGAGGGACGAGAGAGGGAGGAAGAAGGGAGGGAGGAGGGAGCGGGGGAGGGAGGGAAGGGAGGAGGGAGGGAGGAGGGAAGGGAGGCAGGAGGAGGAAGGGAGGAAGGGAGGCGGAGGACGAGGGAGGAGAGGAGGGAGGGAGGGAGGGAGGGAGCGAGGAGGAAGAGTAGGAACCCCGCGCAGTGGGCGCCTGGCGCAAGGCCGCGCCCTGGCCGCCCAGCCGCAGGGGTGGCACCTCGCTCCCGCGCAGGCTGCGCGGGAAGAGGCCGCCTATCTACCCTCCTGCTTTCCCTCATCATGCTACCCATTTGCTTCCTCATCCTCTCCTCCTCTTCCTCCTCCTCCTCCTTCTCTTCTCCCTTCTCCTTCTCTTGTTTGTCTTATTCTTCCTCCTCCTCCTCCTCCTCCTCTTTTTCGTGAAGGGCTTCGCGGCGTTAGCTGTTTCCGACAAACTGTGGATCTTCCATGATCTATCCAGAATTCTCCAGACACCTCTAGAATAACCTCGAGTTACCTGGGGATGCGTCGGAATCACCTCGGCATGCACCGATTTGTCTGGCAGAATCCCCCACAACCGATTGGAGAATGGTCGCCAAACTATTGGGGATTTTTCTTGCCGGGTGCCCAGTGTTCCTCCTCCTCCTCCTCCTCCTTATCCTTCTCTGTTCCTTCCCCTGGCTCCTCCCTCCGCTTGCCGGGGGTTACCACGGGTGCCCTTGCCCGAGGTGCCCCCAACTGTTCGCGCCACTCTGGGCCCCCCGGGAGGGCCCTCTGGGCCTTCCTGCATGGTGATCTGGAGGCCGTGCCGTTCCCGCTCGTCGTCTCTGTCGGGCCTTCCTCCTCCTCACTACCATCCTTCGTCCTCTCTCCTCCGCCCCTCTGCCTTCCTCCTCCCTCCTCTTCCTCCTCGTCCTCCTCCTCCTCCTTCTCCTCCTCCTCGGCCTCCTCGTCCTCCTCGTCCTCCTCGTCCTCCTCGTCCTCCCCGTCCTCCTCGTCCTCCTTGTCTTCCTCCTCCTCTTCCTCCTCCTCGTCCTCCCCCTTCTCCTCCTCCTCATCGCCTGGGGGCGGGGTCAGGCAAAACCGCCCTCGGCAGTGTCAGGGGCCGTTTTTGGCCGGCTCGGTGCTGTTTCCAACGACTCGGGCGGCTCGCCTGGCTCTGACATCGGAAGTATATCCTTGCAGTATCCGTCAGGTGAGCGACTATAGGCGGGTTCGGAACCAATGCCTCCGTTAACTATCCGCCATCTCAATGTCAAGACCGTTTGGTTCGGTCCCGGCGCCCTCGGCTCCGACACCTGCGAGCTCAACTTGACAATTCTTTTGAAAAGGGCGGTCCCATACGCCGTGACGTACGCTCTGGTTGGAGCAATTCTCCCGCCCCCTGACGACAAAGCCCACCCGCCGTTGGAACGATATTTTTCGATGATCCGCATTGTTCCTGGCTGTGTTGTTCCTTGCTGTGTTGTCCCGGCATTGTTTCTGTAAGGGTTGCAATGTCCAGTCCAGGTTCCGAGAGCAGAGGGCAGAAGGGACTCTTCACCTTCGTACGAGGTCTTCTCTGGATCGTGGGGCCTTGCTGCCTTTTTTGGGGAACGCATGTTATTCAGGGGGCCCACATCCAGAATTCTCTGTTACCAGAAAATTGTTCTACAAACTGTCCGCGCTGCTTCTCGTAATCACCACAACCGCTTCGCCCTGTCACATTACAGCTCGCGTGGTGACCGCCTAGCCGCATGGCGCCAAGATCTGTGTCCATCATGCGTTCGGCGGATAACCAGTCATTCGTCCGGTATTTTGCAATTCTTGACGAGCGAGCGTGTTCCTTGCATTCGTCTCCGGACTCGGGGGATCCCTTCTCATGGAGCTTGTAGATGCATGGTTCCTTGAAGATGTCATGCGACATGGCAGCTATGTTCCAGTAAGTAGATGTGAGGATGCGTAAGATATTCGCGCGCACTACTGATGGCGAGCACAAGCATTTTCTTGCTGGGGCGCGTACGCGTTCGATCCTGACAAATAAAGTAAACCAAAATCGCGAGAGGCGCGCACCTGTTCATGCATTTGGAGGCGCAGGGGGGGGCCCTTTTTCAAAGCGGGCTGTCGCATGGCACTGCTGTGACAAACTGTTGACCCCACTTTGTCGTACTCTTTATAGTTCAACGTGTGGTTTGCATTTTCTTTTAAAAATGGCCATCCGCCTGAATTGCAAGCGCGTGGGCCGCTCGTCTTTCAAAGGGTGGGCCGTCGCGCAGTGACATGACATGTCTGCGCAGCCACGAGGACTGGCAATGGGGGGGCATGTTGCAACATTTTTAATGCATCTTGGGTGTACCCAGGCCGCCCCTTTGGAGCAATAGTCGGTGTGTATATATATATACACACGCTAAAACCATCGCGTTTGCTTCGCGCGCGCTCAACTTCTAGCTAGGCTCGATGGGCGAACGCATGGAATACCCTCCTTGTCGCTTCTTGCATCCAAAGACTCTCTTGGAGGCCCCGCGCAAGCTCCGGAATCATATAGAAGGGGAACTGCGGAAACGCAGGAATCATTCATTGCCGATAATTATTCAACGACTTGGGGCCCTCGAAAGCTTCCGAGGTTCTTTTCTGGGGCCTTACCTGCGGTCGGTTGCGCAGGAGTAGACAGGGGGGCGAATTTGGAGAAAAAAAAAAAAAAAAAAAAAAAAAAACAGCGGGATGGTGGGATCTCCACTTTTTTCGAGTTGCAGCGCCTGGGCAAATGGCGACAGCGCACACATGGGCGCCCGCGCGAGAGGACTCAGCGGGGCGGGGCCGGAGCGCCCAGAAAAAGACACAGGAAAACGCACATGTATAATGGGGGCAATATATCGCGCGCGTTCAGAACGCAGACAAGCCAGTCTCGAGTTCAGTCCACGTCGTTGTTCCCGCTGCGCTGACCCAGGCCTCCGCCTCACAAGGTCTGCCCAAGACTTGTTGTGCATGTTTCCGTGCGTCATCTTCCCATCGAGATTTCAGTCTGGCTTGATTGCGACCTGGCCCCTAGCAATCAAACAACAAAGCAGGCTCCCACAACAACACTCGGTATGTCCATTGGTGCTGGTCGGATGCGACTTGTGACGCCCGCGTCCATGTCCTGCAACGTTGAATCTTAATTCAATCTTCCATGTTCAATCGCTCTCACAGATTTTGCGCTTCGTGCGTGGCGCGTCTGACCCGCTCGACCCATGGCTCCAAAATGCCCTCCGCGTCGCAAAAGTCACTGTCGTGCATCTCTGTATTAACGTGTCCGGCAGCACTGGAAGAACGCGATATGCTGCTGTCCGCGTGGTCCACCTCCATTAATTCGCGAGCACGCGTCGTCCACAAATTTTCGCCGTCTTCTCGGGGCACCAGAAATCATTCGTAGCATCTGGCGTCGTGTCCGGCGCAGCCGGGTTTTCAGTTCCCTGGGTAAAAAACCCGCGAAGTACAACCGTAGAGGACAGAGAGAGCAACTGCGCCATGAAACAAGCGTATCCGGCCGCGTAGAGAATGTGCACGGGTAAACAGGTCACGCTTCAAGGAATGGAATCTGCGCCACCCCGCAACGGTGCGGCTTTCCATCTCGCGCGCGCGCTGGTCTTGGAAAATGAACTTCCTGCCCAAATACTTCTGGTGAGCACCGAAGGGGAATGTTTACGCATGCGTTGTTGGTTTGAGAAATACTCTGGGCGTGCGCGGGGTCTTCGGCGACGCTGGTTGCGCAATCTCGGTTCTGTCGGGGTGTGACTCCATGCCGACCTCGGCGGCTTCATCGCGCGCTGCTCGAAGCGTGCGCTGGACTTGTTTCAAGGGCGCCCCGAAGTAGATAACGTTTTTTTCCCCTCCATCGATCGCCCTGCTTCGATTTCCTCTGCGGCGAGGCGCCGTCGCGTGAAAGGGCACCGCGCGAAATCGGCTTTCAATGGTTGCCCGTCGCTGCCGCTGCTGCAAATGGCGAGAGGGTGGGCCATTCCTGCGCAGAAGAGCTCGCGCGGCCCTGAGGCAAGTGCGGGCGCCGAGCCCGAATAGCAGCAGCCATCTCCCCGAAGGCCTGCGTGCTCAGCCGAGCAGGTTCAGCGCGTCCATCCTCATGGCGATCAGCACCCAGGGCGCGGTGGCCCTCCGCAGGGCGAGATGGGAGATTGTACAGAGCTCGCGTTGCCTCGCTTGGTAGGTGACCGTCACTGTCCATTTTGGCAATCATGTCATCAGCCATGTCGTCCTGGCCCCAAGCGTCATCGTCTGGGCCGCGAAATGGCGCGCGACGCCGACCTGCATCTGGACCGTGACGAAGAGCTGACTCAGGAAGTCGGTCTGCACCTTGAGCGTCGGGAGGCACTCGGCGCTGGAGAGCTTGAGCGCCGCCGCCAGCGTCGCCAGAGCGAGCGCCAGCGGGGCGAAACTCCAGAGCGTTCGAATTGAAGGGGAACTTCGGCACCATCGGAAGATAGCGGGCCCATGGCTGGCGAAGCGGGTCGAGCCAAATACCTGCAGCCGCACGAGACTCCGCAGCACCATCCGCACGAAGCTGCTGAGGAAGTGCTGTGCGAGGCGGGGCCAGCGAAGTCCGAGCAGCAGACGGCCGGGGATGACCAACACCTGGATCAGACCAAAGATCATCTTGCCGGTCCCGATCTTCGCGAGGGCGCTGGTGCCACGGGCGATAGTCTCCGTCATGAGGGTCACCTGGATTAGGACCAGGCTTGGCATCGCCGTCACCGTCGTCATCATGATGTGCGCCATGGGCACCAGGCGCACGATGGAGTACAAAAGAAACGCGATTCTCAACAGGTGCTCCTTGTGGCCGTGGTCGACGGAAATGTAATCATGCAGCCTGTGAGGCACGGCAGCGATCGCGTCGATGAGGATGTGGTTCACCATGCCAGGGCGGGCACCTGGCAGAAGCACCGCGTGCGCCGGAAGACGATCACAGTGCGACGAGAATCGCACTCATCCCTGCCGCCCTTCGCGGAGCTGCCCGAGGACTCAGCCCCGCCGATCGGCGACCGCCATGCGCGCGCGCCGACGGAGCTTCAAGTGCAGCAGGGAGGCCCTTGACCCAAGCACGTGCTCGAACCAAAATGGCTCGCCCCAAAGAAAATAACGTCGTCAACGAACCGAAGGTTCGTAAGGTGAGCGGCGGCGAAACTTACTCTGATACCACTTGTTCGTCTCGTCCATTTCGGTTGTAGCTTTCTGAAGACGCTCTCCAGCAGTGAGCTGAATAGTGATGAACTCAGATCACCCTGTTTTGTACCACGCTGTGTTTCAAATGCTCTGCTCTTACTGTCCGTCGAAACAATGGCCGTCTGATTGGTGTAGAAGCGTCCTAGAACTGAGATGTAGATTTCCGAAAACCCTTGCTCCTTAAACTCGACACAAATCGCGATGTGATGCCGTGTCGAGCGCCTTCTGGAAATCTAGCGCTGCTGTCCACGCTGGAAACTGCCATTCTCGAGTCTTCTCTTGCACCATGGCCAACGTGAAAAAATGGTCATCAGTGGAAAATGCCGCCGGGAAACTGCTTGTTCAGCAGGTTGTTGTGCATCCAATGTTCGTTCAAGTCGATTGTGTAATAATCTGCTGAACAGCTTGTATAATACAGGAATATACGCGGTTGGACGGTAGTCCTGCGGCTGGGCTGGGTCGCCTGCCTTGTGCAACACCGTGATGCTTACTTGGCGCCATTGCTCTGGTGTATCCGAATCAGGTTTCAGCGCGTCGCTGTACAGCTTCAGCAACGTTAGCTCGAACACTGGTCCGCCGGACTTTAACATCTCCGCCAAGATGCCATACTTACCTGGAGCCTTCCCATTCTTCAGCTGTTTGAGCGCTGCCCTGAGTCCTAATAGAAAGAAATCTGGGACTGGCATGGGGTAGTCGTGCTCGATATCGTGTCGGCGGTGATCTTCACGATCATGCTGTCGATCAATATCCTCGTATAAATCAGCAAACATGTCAGCAATACCTTTTCTCGAATGCTTTGGCGCCGTCCGGTCGCGCCATTTGCGGTATCATATTCGCACGCCCGTTGGACTTGATGTCGCTGATATTTTTCAAGTTCTTGTAGTCATTGATGATAATATCTATTTGCATATGACGAGCTGCCCGTCGAATGGCTCTCACTTCTCTTCGTACTCGTTTTGTTACGGCATTTCTCCTGGTTGTATCTTCTTGTGGTATGTTCCGCCATTCATCGAGCTCTGCATGGTGAATAGGTTGTTCTCGTGTCTCGTGTGGTTGGTCATTTGATGGAGCGTTGCCTGGGCAATGGGTTAGACGTTTTCTGCATGCAGGCCACGGTCTGTTGGGATGCCTCTCGGGCTCTTCGCGCAGAAATAAGCATGGGGTGCGTTTGAAAAAAAGGAATTTTAAACTTCCACTGC